TCTATTGGCCATTTCATTTTTTCCAAAATTTTTTTATTATAAATAACACTGATAAATATGCAAGTTTTTTTATTTTAAAATTAAAAATCTATATATTTGCATTGATCTTAGATTTTTTCCCTTAGAATTCTCAGAAATAAATCCTAGGTCAACGAATATCTTTTTTTTGTGTTGTTGAGATGGGGTTTTGCTCTTGTTGCCAGGCTGGAGTGCAGTGCTGCAATCCCAGCTCACTGAAACTTCTTGAGTTCAAGTGATTCTTCTGCCTCAGCCTCCCAAGTAGCTGGGATTAGTGGCACATGCCACCACGCCCAGCTAATTTTGTGTTTTTATTAGAGATGGGGTTTCACTATGTTGGTCAGGCTGGTCCTGCATTTTTAAGTATCTTGATTCATTTTGGCAAATTACCACACAAAAATATTAAGGTGGTCTTGTTTTGTATCTAGGGGTATCTGTTTGATTCTTAGATAGAAGCCAAAATATACTTAACAAAAGTTGACCCTAAACTCACTCGGATTTTTCATGCAATATAGTATAGTAGAAATAAACCAAAGTTGGGGTCCGGCTAACCTCATTGCAACCACATACTGCCATTTCTACAAATCACTATTTCTTTTAGCTTCGTTCTCTTTATCTGCAAAATCAGTTGGTATACTCTGTAGTGTTGTGAAGATTAAATGTACTAGATCTATATGAACATGCTTCAGACTGCCTGGCTCATAGATGCTCAACAAATATTAGATTCTATCTTTATTTTCTCCCTAAATCCCTTAGATTAATAATTTCCATATAGATGAGTTAGAAACATGAAAAGGGTGTGTTAATATTTTCCATCTTATGTTTGTACAGGGACCTTTGAAGAGGAGCTTTAGGTCTTAAGGAAAAGAAAAAAGCCATCAGACACTAATACAAATAAAATGAGAAATGTATATGCCTCAAGTCCTCATTAGGTATTGGTCTTAGAAATTCTAGTTGGAAATTGTATTTGTAATTTGAAGCTCAAGACCTCCTAATCAAATTCCAGTGTGTTTAACCCTTGTTTTTGTTCATTATCTCACATAACAAGAAGCACAGAGGTTGGGCAGCTTTAGGTTCAGTACCATCAACAACTCAATGATGTCATTAGGGAATGGGTACTTTCCGTCTGGTTGTCATACTCATTATATAAGCTTGACTGTAAGATTGGCATCTTTGGGTAACCAGAAGCCTAGAGCCATTCACATTAAGACACAGTATTTACAAAGGCAGGAGACCTTCTGCTGTATCTTCTGATATCTCTCAGACACCTCTTAAAAGCTCTCCCCTCACTTCTCATGTACCAGTATTAGGTTTAAATGCCCTCTTCTAGAACAACCAATGTTAAGTAGAGAAGGAAGGCTTGAGTGGGTTTAGACTGACAACATCTATCTTTGCATATGGGAACTTCTGAGTCACATGGAGAAAAGATGATCTGACAGATCCAGAATTGCCTTTTCAGCAATAAGGCGGAGAAGAATGGGTGTTCAGCAGCATGCCAAGAGTACCTGAGTCAGAAATGTAACTGGAATATTTAAATTTGGCTTAACTAATCTTTTTAAGGACTAGTGTGTTCCCAGAACTTATCATTATAAAAGGTAGCAACACAGAAAACAGAAATATTATTCTTAATCATAACAACATTTGTATGAGTTTCAGTTTCAAAACATTTAGCATATATGTTATTTTAATTCTTACAGCTAAAGTACAAGATAGTTGATATTGACATTCTCCTTTAATAGATGAAGGAGGCAGCGAAACTGGCCCAATTGTCCCATAGAACATGATGTTTATGCTTTCTTTCGAATAAACACAGAAATTGATCCTCCCAGTCTTAAAACTTGAGAAAGTTACATTTGTTTTATCCAAGTTCTTATCGGAGTTCTTTTCTCAGGCAACCAACCATCAGGCCTCCCAGATAGCATCAAGGAACTGGGATGCTAGCTTGCCAGATCATTGCATCTAGACAGTGAGACAATAGACCTCTCACTGGTCCTGTTTGCCTAACTGACAGCTTGCTTCCTGCTGACCAGCTCTTCTTCCTTACACCTCTCTAATTCCTATTTTCCCACATGTGGTTACATTTCTTCCCTGCTACATAAATTTCTAATTTTATTTGGTCAGGGATATGGATTTGAGACTGATCTCCCCTTTCCTCAATTGTGGCACCTGATTAAAGTCTTCTTTCTTAGTAATACCCGTTGTCTCAGTGATTGGCTTTTTGTATGATGAGCGGAAGAACCAAAACAGAACCCCTGGTATTGCAATAATAGCAAGACTCAGGAATATGAAAGGATTTCCTATGAACTACACAGCTAATAAGTAATCACATCAGAATTCAAGACTAGTTCTTACTGTCACAAATCTCCATTGTTTCTATGACCCCCAAGCTACATTTTGGAAAAGAGAAGTCACTTAAAATCTGTAAAACTTTCTGGTGCAGTGTAAAATTGTGAGGTAAAGATTTTGTGTGCTAGTGGGAGGATTGTTCTGGAAAGGGATAAGTCCTAGAAACTCTCTTTAAGGAAAAAGATTCTGTGTTCTGCTCTAAAATGAAATTATAGGGATGCCTGAAAAAGGAGATGAGGAAGGAAGAACAGAGGACTTTTCTTTAATTTTGGAGATGGTTTCACTAGGACTAGACAGGTTAAAGCACTTGAGAGCTATTCCTGTCTTTGGAAATGGCAGCTGGGTGAAGGAAGATGGTGTGCAAGGGTCTCTACCATTACCGCATGAGAGTTTATCAGCAACCATTGGTCATTGGTTAGAGGGAGCAAGAGTGCATGCCGCCCCCTAGTGGCACTCTTTGCAGAATACAGGTGCATACAGGTTCCTTAAGTAAAGGTGGTCCTGGACAATTCTGCCTTCTTGATATTCTTAAGAGAAGTCTTTAGTGAATCCTTGTATCTAGCTTAGCTATCTCGACATACCATTGCCCACATCCATTTCCTGTTAATAATCATATTCTTATATTTTCATTTCTAAAAGTAGATTACTGCATAAGTCTCTGATATCTGAAAATCAAACACACTTGTTAAACATCAAAAACAAGTAAAATAATTTTTTATACTCAAAAGGATATATTTCAGTAAGTGGCATGTTCCAACAAATATTCATTTATTGCCTGCTGTGTGCCAGGAACGGTATTAGGATCTGGAGTGCACAGCAGTGAGTAGCAGCAGCAACAGCAAAGAAGGCATTTATCTTAATGGAGATCACACTGTAATGGGAGCCGCGTTTCGCAAGAAAGAAATAATGAACGAGGTCATTTTATATTGCGGTAAATTCCGTAGAGAGAACTAATAGGATGGTGCGTGATAAGGAATAATCATGGAAGATTGTAACAGTGAGCTAGCTGAAATCTAGAACCTGCTTTGGGAAGAGCCTGTGGAGAATTGTTTTAGGCAGAGGGAATACAAATGAGAGTCTTTAAAGTGGTAGAAAGTTTGGCCAACTTCCTGAATGTACAGTAGGGTGGATTAGAAGAATCAGAGAGAGAGTAGAAAAGATTAGCGTGGTGGGAAGTTTGGGAGGTTGGAGGATTGGTGCGGTGGGTGGTGGAGAGTTTGAATTTATTCTAAATACAATGAGGCAAAAAGAGTGTTTTCTTTTGTTTTGTTTTTTTGTTTTGTTTTGTTTTGTTTTGTTTTGAGATGGAGTTTCGCTCTTGTTACCCAGGCTGGAGTGCAATGGCGCGATCTCGGCTCACCGCAACCTCCGCCTCCTGGGTTCAGGCAATTCTCCTGCCTCAGCCTCCTGAGTAGCTGGGATTACAGGCATGTGCCACCATGCCCAGCTAATTTTTGTATTTTTAGTAGAGACGGGGTTTCACTATGTTGACCAGGACGGTCTCGATCTCTTGACCTCGTGATCCACCCGCCTCAGCCTCCCAAAGTGCTGGGATTACAGGCTTGAGCCACCGCGCCCGGCCTCTGTTTTGTTTTGTTTTTTGAGATGGAGTCTTGCTCTGTCGCTCTGGCTGGAGTACAGTGGCATGATCTTGGCTCACTGCAGCCTCCGCCTCCCAGGTTGAGGCGATTCTCCTGCCTGAGCCTCCATCTCCCAGGTTGAGGCGATTCTCCTGCCTCAGCCTCCTGAGTAGCTGGGACTATAGGCGTGTGCCACCATGCCCAGCTACTTTGTAGTTTTAGCAGAGATGGGGTTTCACCATCTTAGCCAGGATGGTTTCAATTTCCTGACCTCGTGACCCGCCCGCCTTGGCCTCTCAAAGTTCTGGGATTACACATGCGAGCCACTGTGCCCAGTCAAAAGGAGCTTTAAGTAAGGGAATAAGATAATCTGATTAGATAGAGGCCAGGATAGTATGGTCGAAACACAGGAATAGCCTTCCTGATAGAGTCCAAAGATGAAAGAGTTGTCATTACTGATATTGTGGTTATCATCAGGTGAGATCCAGGGTTTCAGTTGACTCCATTGTAAAATAAAAGCAAAGTCTTGGCTCAAGGAACTCCTCCTAATTCTGTTTTACTTCTAATGAATTGGGGAAGACAAACCCTTATCTTAACCTAGACTCTTATTACTTATAACAACATCATTTTATCATTAGATGATGAATGATCAGATGTATGTGTGTTTTCCTGTTTGTCAAATCAAAGATCAAAGTGTGAAGGTGAAACCTACTAATGTGAAACAATTGACTGTGAAATCACAAGTATTTATTACCAGTTTTTGAAAATATTTTAACTTGGGTTTGGGAGGGAAAAAATAGTTAGCAAGAATGTAGTATTCCAGGATATCAAGACTTGATGGAAGCACCAGAAGGTGATGTAGGTGGTATTGAGAGCAAGTAAGTAATAAATATAATGGTAATTCAAATAACAATAACAGTGACAATAGCGTATTTAACAAAGACTGTGGAGCTTGTTTAAATAATTGGAAATGGTAAGGGGAATAGCAGATGTCCATTCTGACTCTAAGCTCTGACTGTCTATCCCCCTCAACCCCATATTTTTTTTTTTTTTCAGATTCACATTATCTAACTTGCCGAATGCAGAACTGTACAGAGGCCAACAGAAATAAACCTTTTCCAGGCTACATTGACCCAGACTCTTTGATTGTTCAGGATGATTATGTGTTTGTTCAGGTATGAAAGATCCACTTCTGTTGAATGTCTCAAAAACATTTCTTTTCCTTGTCTCTGTCCCTACTGCAGTCCCTTTTGCCTGCTTTACACTCCGTTAAGAGAGGAAGGGAGGGAAGGAAGGAGGGAGGGAGGGAAGGAGGGAGGGAGAGAGGGGGAAGTCACTGTCTTTTCAACAAAACGATAATTACTGAGTGTGGAATCTTCTATACTAGTAGAATAGTAATTAGTTCCTTTGGGCTGTGTCCGGAGGATCTTATCAACATGGGGTCAAAAAGGCACCACACACAGTAGTGAGATTGTCTGTAGGATGATGTGCAGTTCCATCTGTCCCCGACACCTGCATTCCAAAGAAGCTCCCAGTTATCAGAGGGACTGAACAACTATGTCAGTCTCTTTCTGTCTGGGGAGGGGTCAGCCAATCAGCCCCCTCCCCCAATACCCACCTTAAAAGTGGAGAAGCAGGATCGGGAAGGGAAGCTGTGGGGTGGCTGGAGATAGTGGGAGGCAGAGGCCAGGGGGAGAGTAATCAGCTTTTACAGTCATGCACCAACTGTGATTGGAATAAAGACACTTCATAGCACATGTATTCAGCCAGGTTTTCACCCCGAGAGAGAGAGAGTGGGGAACAGTGTGAGAAGCTGAAGTTTTCTGAGTTGTTAGTAGAGAAAAGAAGCAAATATGCTGCACTGCTTTTCAGCATTCAAGGAAAATTTAAGCCTGTTAGGGCCCTGTGTTAGAAAATTTGGTTACTGCCTTCCACGTTAAAAATGACAAAGGGACAATTGCTAAATAGCTTATACATATATATAAATATATAAAATTTCACTACAATTGAGACCCATTCCAGACAGTATTATATTCATTTGGACAAGAAATTATGATTTAGACTATTTAATTACATGCTTTGAGGAAGCAATTTGTTTCGATGCCCACCAGCCTGTGTACTTTTAAAATGTTTTACAAATGATCACACACACACACACACACACGCACACACACACACACACACACACACTCCCCATGTCTTTATTCTTCAGGGAAATTAGTAATTAATACTCTGAAATTTTCAGCATCAAGTTGTCAAGTGACGTTTGAATAGTTACACGTATTGGTTCTGTCTGTAATTCATTTCTGTATCAGTGCTGCTCCCAGGAACCTTTTGTGGTTTCTAATAACAGTTCGTGATCCACATCTATGACTTACAAATCAATTCGGCATTTAGAATTTCATACAGTCTTTACCCGTGCCACCATGAACATCCTGTAACCCCTCATTAGACCTAAGAGGTGATCTGGCCACATGATGGTGAAGATGATAACTTTCCAAGTCACATTCCTAATGTGATAAACCTTCACATTTGTTGACATTCTGAGAATGCGAACTCCAGCTGCCATTCAAACTCCAAGCATTTATGGGGCTTAAGAGTGGCTGCAAAGGAGGGAGAGAGACTGGTGGTGGTGCCCTTGACGCTGTACCCTGCATGTTTTTCTTATGCTGGGGTGGAGACCACACCCCTTCCTGTCCTCTCTCACACCCACCAGGATTCATTGGGCTGCATGTTTTGGACAAGACTGGAGGACAGCTGGCTGTGGCGGCACCTGCTTGCAGTCTCAGCTACCGAGGAGGATCACTTGAGCCCAGGAGTTGAAGGGTGTAGTGAGCCATGATTATGTCACTGCACTCTAGCTCTGGGCAATAGACTGAGACTTGTCTCTAAAAGGATTTTTAATAGGCCTGCCGTGGTGGCTCACGCCTGTAATCCCAGCACTTTGGGAGGCCAAGGCAGGTGGATCATCAGAGGTCAGGAGTTCAAGACCAACCTGGGAAACATGGTGAAACTCCCGTCTCTACTAAAAAAAAAAAAAAAAAAAATAGCAAGGCATGGTGGCAGGGGCCTGTAATCTCCCCATATACTTTGGAGGCTGAATCGGTAAAATGGCTTGAACCTGGGAGGTGGAGGATGCAGTAAGCTGAGATGGCACCATTGCACTCCAGTCTGGGTAACAGAGGGAAATTTTGTCTAAAAATAAATAATAAAATAGAAGAGCCCTAGAGTGAATTAGGACAACAGTCCTAGCCTGGTTTTCTGTCTGATGTGGCAACATTCCTGTCTGGGCCATATGCCCGTAATCATCAATGTAACACCATTGTACTGGAATTCAGTGCCCAGAGATGTGAGGCTCTGGGCCATTTCCTTCTGATACAGCACAGGGACCTGCTCGTAGGGTCATAGACTTGGATCCAGAGACCTGCGCCGATGATGGCAATGAGCCAGTGTACCCCAAGGTTAGTATCATTTGGAAAAAATAACTCAAAATGTGTTCTGGCATCTGAGCCACAGTGCAAATTTAAGAATTGTGTTTTTGTCCAGTCGGTTCAGTTTGGGCCTCTGAGTAGCTCACATACTCTTTATAAGTTGTGTTTGAACTGAATGCCAATCTTAACGCTCGTCCGCAATAGACATTCATGCCATTTGTTGTGTTGGAAGCTACTTTTTTCCATTCAGGTGGCTGCTCGGTGACATGTATCTGTTATAGTAGCTCCTCTCACAGTCTTGTTTTTATGATCCAGCTGACATCAGGAGGGCGGCCCCATTACTACGTGTCCTACCGAAGGAATGCGTTTGCCCAGATGAAGCTGCCGAAATATGCTTTGCCCAAGGTATGGCCTGAATCCCTTTCTTCATTTCACTCTTGCCTCTTATTCACAGAAGCCATTCTCTATCCCCTTTCCCAAGGACTCTTTTAACCTCTAGAGTCATTTCTTTACACCTCTCATCTCTGTTTCACAAGTTCACTCTGCCCTGCTGTCTTTGGTCAGTCTTATTACCCTCCTCTTGTTCCCTCACCCTTTCCCACCTCATTCCCTCCCCCACCCCTTGTAGTCTCAGCTACAACCTTCCCTCCCCTCCCCCCTTCCCCTCCCCTCCCCTTCCTCTCATTGTTGCTATAGAAGCATTCTTATGAATTAATAATTGATTTGCTTTTGCTTTTCAATAGTAAAGGTTTTCAAGCCGTATCTATTGGTTTTCTAACAAGACAGAAGATATTTTTTGGATGTGTTGTGTTTCAGTGCCACAGCTGCCATCCATTTCTGTCCCGTTTTATTATCAGTTATTTCCTGAGTGCGATGCCCTGACGTGGCACCAGCCTTTGCCTTCCCTCTCAGCCAGTCAGCTCCCTGTAAACTTCCGAGCCTGGTTGTCTGTAGAGTTCTGAGGCACAGTTCATTGTTTAGACTCCCCCAAAGGCATACCCTTTGGAAAACAGTGGCAAACAAAAGTTAAACGCCCTCCACCGCGGACACCCCGGGGCTGTCTTTGCAGAAGTGCTGAGCTGCGTTAATACGCAGTGCCACCTAGTGGCGGCCAGGCTGATGCCGCAGCTCCGAGCTGCGCGTTTGGGATCTTGCTGCCATCGTGATGTATTTAAAGTGCCCAGAAACTGTAAATGTCTTGTGCCTTAATCCTAGAGCAAGGATGTGGCTGTAAGAAAGGGACTCTGCAGGCTTAAATAGAGTTATAGCTCAACTTGGAAGCCTTTGGGTTGCACAAATAACACACATCACTTCTTTTTTTTAAATTGAGTTTCCATGCCTCTTTCTCTTATATTTTCATCCATGACTTTGTAGTATGCTGTCTTGAACCAACACCAGATACCTGCCCGGGAAGTCACGTATTAGACATAACACAAGGGCATAGCAGGCCTCCTCTCCTGGGAGAGGCCGTGGTAACAGATTGTTCTGGCTTCTCCAGGCTAAATTCTCTTTCTTACCACCCTTCCCTGATCCTAACATAGTGAAAGGTGGGCTGTAAGCCTCAGCCCATTAGAGGTGATAACACACATTGAGTTGCACTGTTAACTCCAAAGAACGATAGCTGTGTTCATAGTTATTATTTTCAGCTGCTGAGAGATTAATGGCCGTGGTAATTATCTGGAACTGTATGTATGTCTGTGTCTGTATACATTTAAGTTCTTGTTGTTCTTGACTTGGCTGAAGTTTTTTTTTTTTTTTTTTTTTTTTTCCAATACAAGAATTTACAACACTGAAGTTGTGCCTCAGATAAGAATTGGATAGCATCACTCTGTAAAAGGAAAACTGAGTGCTGTTCAAATTACCCTTGATAATCTCTTAGGAAGGTCTGTCAGAGAAATGAACATGTTAACTCAATAAATACAACAGAGCTGGGTTTTTTTTTTCCTCTTGAGCACTGAAATAAATTGTTGTTTCTTTGATTGACTAATAAATGAAGTAGTTGGCTTGCAAGATTTGTTCCTTAGAAAAAAATAATTATGGCATGTTGCCGTCGTTCACGAGGTATGTGGGAATGCAGACCATGTCAGGAAACAGCCGATTGGAGGCACTCATCCCATGCGTACTCTTGGGAATAGACTGTTTGCTTTTGAGATGGAGTCTCACTCTGTTGCCCAGGCTGGTGTGTGGTGGTGTAATCTTGGCTCACTGGGCGACCTCTGCTTCCCAGGTTCAAGCGATTCTCCTGCCTCAGCTTCCCAAGTAGCTGGGACTACAGGCGTGTGCCACCACACCTGGATAATTTTTGCATTTTTAGTAGTAACATGGTTTTATCACATTGGTGAGGCTGGTCTTGAACTCCTGACCTCGTAATCCACCCTCCTCGGCCTCCCAAAGTGCTGGGATTACAGGCATGAGCCACTGCGCCTGGCCAAGAATAAACTGTTTAAGTGGACTAAATCTTGATCAAATCAAATGCTATTTGTTACATAATTGAGGCTAGAACTCAAGTCTCCTGACTCTCAAGGTGGTACTTTTATCTTATATTTTCTTACCTTGAAGGTAAATTAATAGTGTTCATTACTAAAACATAGTATCATCACCTGCCCCCCTCCCCTCAAAATTCCATATACTGTCAGGAGGATTAAGAGGAAAATTCCTGGCTGGGCATGGTGGCTCGTGACTGTAATCCAAGCACTTTGGAGGCCAAGGAGGGTGGATCACCTGAAGTTGGGAGTTCAAGACCAGCCTGACCAACATGGTGAAACCCCATCTTTAAAAAAATAAATCAATCAAAAATAAAAAAAAGAAGAAGAAAATTCCATAGACTTAAGGTACCCTACAAATCATAGTTTAAAATCACAAAAACGTTGGTAGACTCATTGCTGGAAGTTTGGGAAACAAATACTTTGCATTGCTTGTTCATAGCCATCACACAAGTCACTGCTGACGGTTGCCCCCAGTGGCATCTAGCCAATATGGAAAGAAAGCGTTTTACTTTGAAGCTGAATTTGCATCTGTGCTCTTCCTCCTGTTCTCCCAGAAGACCATGGTCCATTACTCAGTCTAATCTGGGTCTGAAGGTAGAATGCAGTGATTAATTTAGCCTGTTCCCAGAAAAATTAAGGGCTAGTACAGCAAATGTATTATTTGGTCCAGATGGGTGTTCATTATTTAAGGCAACGACATTATTTATTACAGTCCCGTTATACCTTCAAAAAGAAGCCCCAGCTTGGGGTGGAGTGATCTGTGACAAAGTTTATTTCAAGGCCTTCTGTCAGTCAGGGCTGGTGCAACTGGAAATGAACAAAGCTTCAAGCCAACCAAAGGAATCAAGACAAACTGGCACTTTTATGCTCAGTTTTCTTTAATCACCCACTACCATTGTATCAGCTCTTGAAAGACCATAGTCACCCTGAACTGTGCTTAAAAAATATTTAATGATATAGTAGTAAAGAATGACAGCGGGTGGGGAGATTTTAATATTGCCGTTGCCATTAAGAGCATGTGGCCCTCCAGACAGGGAAACTTAGTGACAGTCTTTCTTCCTTTAACTTGCGTGGAACCCATTCTGAGCTACTCAAATGAGGTAAATGAGGGAATACATATGAAAGTGCTTTGAGCATTTTGGAGGACAGATACTCTATAAAGGCAAGGTAATATTGTTATTACTATGGATCTACTTGTCTCCATGGTGTAAGATCGATGTGGACCAGGATGCAGGTGATGTGAAAGCTGCTTGATTTGCAGCAGGAAACCCAGGTTAGGGACCCAGGTCTGTCACTAACTTGCTTTGAAACCTTGGGCTGGTTTGTCAGTTTCTCTTTTCCTCATTTTTTTTTTTTAAATAATGAGCTCATATTCACAGCAATATTTTCTCATATGTGTTACTTAGAATAAAATGTTCTTAGTACTCCTTTCTGAGAATTTGGTTCTGTGGTCAAATATGTCTGAAAAAAAGAAATAAACTGCACTGTGTTTCTTGCCTAGAGAGCAGCAGTAGCTTGCTGGTGTGTTGAAGGTTCAGAATGTCCAGTGAGCAAGAAAACTCTTTAATTCACCATTCATTAAAATGTTTAACCAAAAGATTCCATCTTCCTTTTCAAATCTATTAAAATCCTAACAACATTGTTGTCCTACAGATCGGACTTTAGAAAATGCTTCAATACAAAATCTGTAAGATCACATCCTGCTCTCAAATCCTGTGATTCGGTTAAAGCATTCGACATAAAGTGCCACATTGGGAGAAAAAGCAAATTTTTACCCATAGAAACAGGATATAGGAAAGGAGAAAACAGAAAGATGATATATAAATATTTCCAACTGTTCAATTAAAATATTTAAGATCTAGTTCTTGGAACAAAAATTTGCGATGTGGAGAAAAGAAAAAATAATAAAAAATTATTTAAGACCAATATCATTTGAAAATGGCTGTTCAACCTAATTATATGTAGCAAAGGAAGGATTGAAACTCAGCCCATATCTAGAGATGGACATTTTAATCTGTTATCATTGTGTGACTAGTTCTCTAAGTGACTCAGACCACAATATTTGATGTATCTGTGTTTTCCTTTCCAAGTCTACAAAATAAAAGCTTGGGAGAAGTGGCTTGTATCGGTGACACACTTTCCTCTTCCAGCCTAAGATCATGTAACCAAATGTTTATTGCGAGACACTCAGAGGTTCACCAATGCAGAAATTCACTGTAAATCACAGAAGTGGGAATCAGCTATGCAGGGGTCAGGTTATTATTGAAATATTTTAACTTGGCTTCAGGGATTATGATGCATCTTACTGACAAGGAAGGGAGGATGAATTGGGAATGGTATGATGTTTCTCAATGCCGAGGTAAAGAGTTAGGTCTTTTCCCTGTAGGATGGGGAGCCATGGGAGGATTGCTCTTCAACGCAGGAACAGCTCTGGGGCCAATTTCCACAGACAAGTCACCCCATTCGAAAGAAACCAAACACTTGGGTATAGCTTCCCCTGGTTCAGAGAGTTTTAAATTTTATTTTAAACAGCAACAACAAAAACACTTGGGTGAACCAGTTCTTGTCATGTATATAGTTAGGACTTGAATATTTGCAGTAAACAGAAAGGCCAAATCAACCTAGCTTAATCACCAAAGGGGATGCAGGGGCTCCCTTAACTGAGGATAGCTAACATATCTAGAGCATATGCTAAGTACCAGGCACTATTACAAGAGCTTAACACTTATTAACTGATTCCATCCTCAGCACTGCATGGGGGATTCTGCTATCTGTTTTGCAGGTTGAAATTATGAGACACAGACTTTCATTAACAAGGCTAAGTTACAGAGCCAAGATTTGAACTCAAGTAGTTTTACTCCAGTCCATTCTTCAGCCACTTGGCTAGACTGTCTTCTTTAACTGAAAAGTCTGGAGGTGGAATCAGCTTCTAAAATGTCCAAATTTAGGGACCAAAAGATGTTACAGGATTGGGCCATCTCTCTCCATCTACTTTTTTTTTCTTTTTTTTTTTTTTTTGAGATGGAGTTTTGCTCGTCACCCAGGCTGGAGTGCAGTGGTGCGATCTCGGCTCACTGCAACCTCCGCCTTCTGGGTTCAAGCAATTCTCCTGTCTCAGCCTCCCAAATAGCCGGGATTACAGGTGCCTGCCACTGCACCTGGCTAATTTTTGTATTTTTAGTAGAGGCAGAGTTTCACCACGTTAGCCAGGCTGGTCTTGAACTCCTGACCTCAGGTGATCCACCTGCCTTGGCCTCTCAAAGTGCTAGGATTACAGACGTGAGCCTCTGACCCTATTTTCATCAGGGTTGGCATCATCCTTTACTTCCAAGATATGTTTCCAGCAGATCTGGAGTTTTCCTTTTTATTCTTACTGCTTATAAACCAATAGTGAGATACTAATTTTGCCTCTCCTTAATAACTCCGCAGTCATTCTAGAAACGTGTCATATTGACTTTATGTGGGTCACGTGCCCATTACCTATTCAGTTGCTGTTGCCAGAGAAATGCAATATTCTGAATGCCAGTTCTAAAAGCTCATTTCTGGTGCTGCTGGTAGAAAAAGTGGAAAAATGTTTAGATTTAATACAGAAATATATCTGAGAAGGATGAGGCTGTTTAAAAAAAAAAAAAAAAATACATCCATGCAGTTGGACCTGTGTCTCTCAGGTTCTGTATTATATGGAAAATATTCAAAAAATTAATAACAATATAATAAAAAGTAATACAAATTAAATAATTGATACAACTATTTACGTAGGCTTCGTATTGTATTAGGTATTACAAGTAAACCAGAGATGATTTAAAGTGTACAGGAGGATGTGTGTAGTTTACATGCAGATATCACACCCTCTGCTTATAATAGCAGATATTATCACCCTCTGCTTACCACAGCCAGGGGGCTTGTCCATGACAGCCAGAATAGCCTACAGCTGAGGGGCTTGGTGGTGCTCCTTATCTCTAAAGCAGCTGGGCCCAGCAGCAGCAATGCTTCCTGTCAGAACTATGACATGGTCAGTGGGATCTACTCACATCAAAGATGTTTGGCAGAGATCACAGAGCTTATTCATACTGCTCCCCTTGTACATCGTGGGATAGTAAATTTAAGTGAATTGCAGTCATCTGATGGTCCACTGAAAGACACGCAGTTTGGAAATAAAATTGCTGTCCTGAGTAGAGACTTTCTTCTAGCAAATGCCTGCAATGGACTAGCTCTGCTACAGAACACCAAGTCATTTTCATTTAATGGACCTATTGCCATATATCCATTGGGAGACTGTGAGTCAGCCTGGGTCTTGTCTAAACACCCAAGAGCATTGTCATGATGTCACTCCTGGAGGTTTTTCTATTAAGCATTAGTGATTTATATTTCTGGATAACCAGTGGCACAGATGTACTCTTTACATAGCTGATGTGTTTCCTTATGTTAACTCTTTTTCCTAAAGGCATAAATATGTTGTTTACAAGGAAGTATTTTGTTTGTATAAATATGCTCAATTTACACATATATTACTCCTCCTTTTACACTGTCTGTATAGTTTAATAAAGAAGCTATTGTCTAAAAAAAAAAAAAAAGGAACTTGAGCCTCTCTGGATTTTGGTATCTGAGGGCAACCGTGGAAACAGTTCCCCTGCAGATACCTAGAGAGAGTTGTAATCATCAGAAGAAATGTAAACAGACATTCAGTGGATAGAAGCACACATTAAATTAACGGGCAGGATTCATTTTTTCCTTGCCACTTGTGGTTCTTTCTACAAAAATTGTTAGGAAATTCGAATATGTCGTATGGAACCTGAGTAGAGGTGAGAAATATGAAGCCCTTTGAATATGGACGTCTCCCTCTGGGATCTTGAGTTTACTGTGATAAAGGGTAAAGAGGAGAAGGAGTCTTGTTCCTACACGTCTAGAGCAGGGTCCGACCTGAAATGCTGCTTGATTGAGAGCATGGGCATATGTGACCGTGAGAAATTTAGGTTAGAAACTAGGTAGAATTTCCCCACGCTGAAATTGTTTGGAGGATTGTCAGATCTCCTGAAGCTTTTCAAAAATAGAATATGGTGCGTGTGGGAAGTTTCGAGTACTAAGCTGTGCCAAAAGCAAGAATCGTTCTACGTTGCTCTTCTGCCTTTGTGGTTATATGCAAGCTTTGCTTTTGTTTGTTTTGGTTACTTAGTTTTAATTTTTGGTTTTTAGAAGTTGTTTTAGGCCTATTTTCTTCAGCAGAGGGTAAAATGCAGCCAAGAACATATGAACAGACATCTAAAGAGGACAGCAGGCTTTGGTCTGAGTCAGCAAGCTTTGGTCTGTGGTAGCTTCCAATGTACTTCTCTAGAGTTATGGATGGAGTGGGAAAGAGTTTGAAATTCCCATCCCAGGACCATGTGCTCACTGCCTCCTTGCTACTTCTGCTTTAATTCTATCTTCCAGGGCCTGAAAACATTGTCACTTATGCAGACTATCTTTTACCCTTTTTCACGGGAGGATTCCTGCAGAACCTCTCAGTTTAGGTTTTGACGAGCAGCTAAGTCTTTGAACACACAATATGAAGATTAGTACTTTGGGTTGCTCCAGGGAATGTTTTCTTAGGGCTGAGGGCAGAGGAGACTGGCTGGGAGTGGCTGAGCCTTAGGGCAGTGCTTTTGAAACTTTAATATGCATGATCATTACTTAGCAATCTTATTAAAATGCAGATTTCCATTCACCAGGTGAGGCCCAAGGTTCCACATGTTTAACAAGCTTACAGGTAATGTCCTTGCTGCTGGTCATGAGCCCCGCTGAGAGATGCAGGGTTTGTGTATTTTCTCTCTGTCCCCCCAGCTTTTCCTCGTATCTGCCCCATATATGCCTCTGAGCAAGTATCATATTTATGCCTGGCAAAAATATCAGGACAATTGATTCTCCAAATCATACATATTAAAGAATTTTTCAAATTATGTAATGATTTCAAATTACATGGTTTTTCAAATTATTTAATTAAAACAGCTCCCAAACATCCCTCCATCCTCTTTTCTCATGACCGTATTGCCTGACCCCACAAGTGACAAAGGAAATATATGATTAACACTTCACTGATTATTATTTAACATATGCAAAAGGAAGCTATCTTCCATTAACGTGCTTATGCTTATTCTGGTATTTCTCGTGTGATTCCACACTCTTTGGATGTCTGCCAGGTTAACGTATAAAACTCTTCCTCCCTCTTCGTGACCCTGTGTCTCCTCACAGGACATGCATGTTATCAGCACCGATGAGAATCAAGTATTTGCAGCGGTCCAAGAATGGAACCAGAATGACACGTACAACCTCTACATCTCAGATACACGTGGTGTCTACTTCACCCTGGCCTTGGAGAATGTCCAGAGCAGCAGAGGCCCTGAGGGCAATGTCATGATCGACCTCTATGAGGTATGTCACGAGGCATACGTGGTCCTAAGCCACAGCAGTGCCCAGCTGGCTGGTGGAAGCCTGGCATGAACTGTTTTCCTGCTCATTTTCATACGTTCTTATGTGGTCTCATTTCTCTTGGGGTATGGGGAGATTTGCAGAACATTTTTATTAGTTATTTTGCAATCCACAGAACATCTCTGGGAGGGATACTTTTTTGATAAACTCCACAGGACATGAAGGCCCAGCGGACTTGCAGAATGTCTCGGGAGGCAGTCAATTGCAGGGTTTGATGAGAATGGTCTGCATGTGAAGTTTGGACGTAGTTCTGAAGGGCAGATAGGGCGGTGAGTATAGGGATGGTGATGGCACTCCCTTGTCTCTCAGAAGAAAGAATGAAGGTGTTAGGGTCTCCTGCATCCAGTCAGAAGACACTCCTTTTGGACTTGAAGACCTTTCTGGTTAAATAAGCTCCTTTGGGTAATGGCCTTTATCTCACAGGGTCAGAGAATGAGATCAGATTACCAAGTGTTTTTCTCCTTAGTCTAGGAAAATAAAACAAACAACTACAACAACAAGAACAGAGCTTAGCAGACTCTTTGTTTCTCAGAATGGCCAAGATTCAAAAGAAAATCATGTATGTTGGATTCGTTAGCTTTCATAATAAAAACCAATGCTTTAATTGCCGTTGAAGGCACAGTTAACTAGAAAGAAAACTGCTGCTTTGGGATGGATTTTAGCCATTCATCAGTCTTATCATGCATTATGAAGGATTTATAATAGGTTATAATAAGCCATTTGAAAACATTCAGAATTTGGGAAGCGCAACTGTATACCTATATTTTATCTGAAAAAATCTAAAGTGGATTTAAATATGTGCAGCCGTAATGACTCTATCATTTAGTTGAGAGTAAGCGCAGTAAGTCAAGAGTTTGTTTGTATAAGAAGTAAGAGTATATCCAGCGTGAAAGAAACTAATTTCGCTTAAGAAATTTAAACCTATCATTGTAATTCTTTTTCATGTGTTCTGTCTTCCTTCTCCTTCAGAGGTTCTTAGTGATTTTCTTCTAGTATCTAAACTTCTCTGTATGTATAAAGGCATGTTAATAAACTATATGCCAAATTTAGAGCCGAAGTATTTGCAATAGAAATTATGGCAGACTAGGATAGGGTATGGTTTATGTGTATGTATTTAGAAAAAGGCACTGTAAGCTTTTTCAGACTTTCTTTTTATTTATTTATATTATATTTTAAGTTCTTGGGTACATGTGCAGATTGTGCAGGATTGTTACGTAGGTATACACATGCCATGGTGGTTTGCTGCATCCATCCCCCCATCATCTACATTAGGTACTTCTCCTAATGTCATCCCTCTCCAATCCCTCCACCCTCTGCTATCCTGCCCCTATATCCCCCACCCCGCAACAGGTATGTGATGTTCCCTTCCCTGTATCCATGTGTTCTCATTGTTCAGCACCCACTTATGAGGGAGAACCTGCGGTGTTTGGTTCTGTTCTTGTGTCGATTTGCTGAGAATGGTGGTTTCCAGCCTCATCCATGTCCCTGTAAAGGACATGAACTCATCCTTTTTTATGGCTGCGTAGTATTCCATGGTATATATGTGCCACATTTTCTTTATCCAGTCTATTATTGATGGGCATTTGGGTTGGTTCCAAGTCTTTTCTATTGTAAACAGTGCCACAGTGAACATACATATGCATGTGTCTTTATAGTAGAATGATTTATAATCCTTTGGGTATATACCCAATAATGGGATTGCTTGGGTCAATTGGTATTTCTGTTTCTGGATACTTTAGGAATCACCACACTGTCTTCCAGAATGGTTGAACTAATTTACACTCTCACCAACAGTGTGAAAGTGTTCCTATTTCTCCACATCCTCTTCAGCATCTGTTGTCTCCAGATTTTTTAATGAGCACCATTCTAACTGGTGTGAGATCGTATACTTTCATAAGATTTTCCAATTCTCCTGCCCATGTTTCAGATCAATACAATATCATATATTACAGCCTCAAGTTGTATTCTAGAAGAAATTTACATATTGTGATGATTTAGTTTCAACTTCATGTTGAATAAAATTTAATTTAAATTACTGACTTTGGATTTAGGTTGCCTTAATTCCTAGCAACGCCACTTGTATTTATTTTTGAGAAAAATCTAATAACCTGTATTTATTTTTATTTATTTTTTTTTGAGATGGAGTCTTGCTCTGTCACTCAGGCTGGAGTGCAATGGTGCAATCTGGGCTCACTGCAACCTCTGCCTCCTGGGTTCAAGCCATTCTCCTGCCTCAGCCTCCCAGGTAACTGGGACTATAGGCGTGCACCACCACGCCTGGCTAATTTTTAAATCTCGTAATTTCTGAGCCACACTTTCCTTGTTTAAAATATGGAGATAAACATGATACCCACTAGATATGATTTTTCTGAGGATTAAATGTGTTAATCCTTTTAAAACACTGAGCACAGTGCCTAAAATACAATAATGCTCAACAAATTATAGATAGCATCATTAATATTATGTTCCATTATGTTCAAGCACCACTGCAGTGTTCTACTATCATAGCCTTAAAAGCTCCCCACATTGTTTAAATACCCAAAACATTTATATTATTTTGGATTTCTACATCTTGCCATATTGCAGTTAGTGCAGCCATATGACATTCTTTACACCAAATAGTTGTCTTCTTATAAACGAGTGTAAATTACCGCATTTCTTTTTTCATTTGTAAATAGATTATAAATATTTTAACTTGAAGTGTGTTTTGTTGAAATGCCATGTATTTTCTTGCCTTGATTAAGCACTTACAGTGGAAGTATTCTTTTTTCTCTTTTTTTTTTCTTTTTTTTTGGAGATGGAGTCTTGCTCTGTTACCAGGCTGGAGTACAATGGCATGCTTTCCACTCACTGCACCCTCTGCTTCCTGGGTTCAAGTGATTCTCCTGCCTCAGTCTCCCAAGTAGCTGGGACTACAGACACGTGCCATCACATCCAGCTAATTTGTTTCGTACTTTTAGTAGAGACAGGGTTTTGGCCAGGTGCAGTGGCTCACACCTGTAATCCCAGCACTTTGGGAGGCCAAGCGGGGCAGATCATGAGGTCAGGAGATTGAGACCATTCTGGCCAACATGGTGAAACCCCATCTCTACTAAAAATACAAAAATTAGCTGGGCTTGGTGGTGCATGCCTGTAGTCCCAGCTACTCGGGAGGCTGAGGCAGTAGAATTGCTTAACCCTGGGAGGTGGAGGTTGCGGTGAGCCGAGATCGCATCACTGCACTCCATCCAGCCTGGTGACAGAGTGAGACTCTGTCTCAAAATAAATAAATAAATAAAAATAGAAATAAAGAGATGGGGTTTCACCATGTCGTCCAGAATGGTCTCGATCTTCTGACCTCATAATCCAGCTTGCCTTGACCCCCCAAAGTGCTGGGATTACAGGCACGAGCCACGAGCCACCGTGACCACCCTAAATGGAAGGATTCTTGCTCAGAGCATCCACTGGCAAGATGTGAAAGCAACTTAATCACCCAGTTTTCTTCCCTGAGCCTTGTTCTATCCTTGGTCTCCTAAAGACATATTCTGATTTTCAGGTTCCATTTTCCCCTTCCTGATTATCCTCTTCCCTATGTTTTTTGAGTCAACATAGAATTGATTCTCTGGATAAATTTTGTTTTCTGCCAGGAATAGAAACCATTTTAATTGGTCCCTTGATGATGAAAAAAAATGAAATATTTAGACGGGAATGACTTTGCAGTGTCTTGTTATTTGCAACTATTGTCATGACTTTTTCTGAATTCAGACAAATGTAACAGGTATGGTATGAAAAGAGGAAATGGGGCGACCTCTGGACATGCCATACATTGCTTTGTTAATTCTGTGTTTCCCCTCTGTGCCTCTCTTGCAGTTCACTATCTGTAGGGAAACGGCTGGCTCTTGTTATCATCATTTTGAGCAGTGGTGTGACTATATTATGTAAAGGTGCTCTGCATCCCGGGGCTGGGAGACAGGAGTCTTTGTTTTATTAGCCTGACAGTTCACAGCAACTTGAATTAAAATTGATGTGATCAGAACGGCAGTGCCGTATCTACTGATTACCTAGATAGAAAGAATATTGGCTGACACGGAGCCTGGCACAAATGTTCCCTTAAATCTGATTGTTCTGCCTAGCAGAAAGCTGAAAGCCATCCAGCATGAATTTCCCAGTAGAATGGTAATGAATGATGAGAGCTTAGAAATAAATGAAAAGTAAGAAAATCCATCGATGAATTACTAAGGAGCAAAGATGAGCATCACGCGAGCTGGGGGTTACAGAGATAGCGTACACGGAGTGCATGTCTGCTCGCATTTGGGGTGACTGAGGAGGATGGCCTTTGTTCTTTGTTTGTATGCTTCTGCATGGCAATTATGTGCTATTTCTGCATTTGTGAGTTCTTCAGGCTATTTTAGCAGAGGTGAATTGTATAATGTATAAACATGTGGACAGGTCTGTGTATCAAGGATGTGCATTGCTGATGGGTCTTTGTAAAAATGCAGAAGGAAGCACTATGTTCATTAAAATTGAGCATTTTGTTTGCACATACATTGGAATCTGGCTACAGACTCTGTATTCTCCACCCTAGAACTATGTGTATATGTGGAATGAGAGAGAGAAATGCTGGGGACAAAGTGTTCGGGGTAAAGTCTTATGTGATTTAGTTATTGAAATACCAGAGTTTTCCATCAGTGTGAATTGGACTCCGTTCAAGAGAATCGAGAAATGAGAAGCCAGGAAAGTTGGCCTCAGAGCAAAAATACTAGAAATGGATTTTTGTTGATATCATTAATAATGGCTGATTTTTGGGCCGCTTTGTACCAGCATGGTGTAAAGAACCTTTCATAACTGTCTCATTCAATGCATACATTAGCTTTACGTTGTAGGGACCATTGTCACTTCCACTTCAGATATAAGTAAATGGAGGCAGAGAAAATACAGCAACTTTTACAGGACCCCAAAAATAG